TAAAATACCAATTGAACATCAGATTCTCTTAATAGTTTACATATCCCAATATTTATTCTATAATAATATCTGGTGTGAAGATTGAATACTCACACCCAGAAAGGGTCAAAATGTTGAAAAATTGTATCTCATAAAATGCGAAATGCTAAGCATCGGGTTGTCTTTAAATTTCACACATCCCAATTTTTTTACTAACTAAAAGTATCAATAATTCTATCTCTCATAAAATGCGAAATAGGCACACATTCCAATACTTCTATCAACTCAAGATATATTGTGAAAATGGTAGATATCGGCTTATTCTTTATGGTAAAAATTTTGAAGAACAAAACGCTCATAAAAGCTAAAACACTTTCTATTTTCTTTAATGTTCACACATTCCAATATATTTACTAAAGACATATCTGGTGTGAAAATGGGATAAATCGGTCTACCCCTTCTGGTACCAAACTCACAAAGAGTCACAATTTTCATTATTTTTCATTTTCTCATAACTTGCGAAACAAATCAGCAATGCTTTTCTATAAATATCTCTCAACAAGAGATCTCCTTCCCACTCCTTCTAGTACCTCTGATACCGACTGATACTTTTTAACTTGTTTAAATTGGTATTTGACAATTTTTCAATCAATTTGCCAAGAAACCGGTACCACCGACGTTACGGCAGACTTTTTTCCAATCGAATTCGTCATCAAGAACGGTGAACGCGTTTTTTCTTGTTTTTATACCCTCCACCAAAAAAAGTATGGAGGGTATATTAAGTTCGTCATTCCGTTTGTAACTCATCGAAATAATCATTTTAGAACCAACAGAGTATATATATTCTTGATCAGCGTAAAATTCTAAGACGATTTAGCCCTGTCCGTCCGTCTGTCCGTCCGTCCGTCCGTCCGTCCGTCCGTCTGTTGTAATCACGCTACAGTCTAAACGAATTAAGATAGGAAGCTAAAATTTTGCACTGATCTCTCTTTTGTCTGCAGGCAGATCAAGTTCGAAGATGGGATATATCGGTCCACCATATCGTATAGCCCCCATATAACGGTACCCCCACGGTATTCGGTATTTTAATGATTTTAGCCACATTTTTCAATGGAATTGTCTGAAAATTCACACAAGTAGTTCCTTGTGGGTACTTTATACCTCGGCAGAGAATTATCTATATAGGTCGACAATATCGTATAGCCCCCATATAACGGTACCCCCACGGTATTCGGTATTTTGATGATTTTAGCCACATTTTTCAATGGAATTGTCTGAAATTCCACAAAAGGAGTCCCTTGTGAGCATTTTACCCCCTCAAAAAGAATTGTCTATATAGGTCCACGATATCGTATATCCTCCATATAACTGTACCCCCCGATATTCGGTATTTTGATGATGTTAGCCCCATTTTTCAATGGAATTGTCTTAAAATCCACACAAGTAGTTCCTTGCGAGTACTTTACCCCCTGAGAGAGAATTTTCTATACAGGACCACATTATCGTACATCTCCCATATAACGGTACCCCCCGATATTCGGTGTTTTGATGATTTTACCCACATTTTTCAACGGAATTGTCTGAAAATACACACAAGGAGTCCTTGTGGGTACTTTATATATATACATATTTTATTTATATACATATTTTAGAAATTTCAGGCAATAATTTACATATTTTATTCCATATTTTCCATCTTAATTTACATAAAAAACATTAGGGAAAGGGCAAAGGACGGTCGGCCCAACAATATTCTATTCTATTGGAATATAGGAAACAAATCAATTTTAAAATAAAAGAGTTTTCATTAATTTTCTGGAAAAAATCTAGGCATTTCATTCATGTTTCGTGATAATTACTTACTTGCAGTTCTGGAACAGTCTAATAATTTGCATAAAGTTGTAATTTAATCATATGTGGATTATATTTTTTAATGCGTTCTTATGACTTTCTCCGTGACTGTGCCGATTTTTTTGGCGTATATAAAGCTAAACTCATACAAACTATTGCAGAATATATTATTTTAGTATTTAAGATGTATTAGAACGACTGTTAAAATATCTGTGTTCTTTGATTCACTCTCGTTTGACCGCTAATGTATCTTTAATAGATGAATTGATAACAGTCCAATGTAATAGCTGTTCAAAATTTTGACTTTTTTCGATTTTAAGGTCTAGGTCTTCTTTTATTTAAAAACCAAAATGTCTTTTTGTGTTTTTTTGGTTTCGTTCGTTCTTAATCTCATTTACAGTTGCTGATAGGTGACGCTAAACAATGTTGGTATGAATGTTGTATTTAAATCGTTTTATTTACTTCATCACCAAAAGTTTCAGTTTGCCATTTAAAAAATCACACAATTGAAATAGTCTCTTTGAAATGATTCTTGTTGTTTGTATTTGGATGGCATCTCTTTACCGCAGAAGTGTTGGAAACAAAGGTAGACTACAAAGCAGACAGTGCAGGACAATTGGCTTAGTTTATAAGGCATACAGGTATACATACCATTTTAGTTAAAGATCTATTAAGTATGAAGAGACATAAATTCCAAAATGATTTTGGTGTTACAGATTTTTTGGTATCGTATCTATATTCGTTTTGACTCTAGCGTGATTACAACAGACAGACATTCGGACAGATCAACGGACGGACAGAGCTAAATCGTCATAGAATTTTAGCTGATCAACAATATATATACTTTGTTATGTCTCAAATGATTATTTCGATGAGTTAAAAACGTAATGACGAACTTAATATACCCTGCATACTATGTATGGTGGAGGGTATAAAAATATAGGTAGGGAGGTACCAGAAGGAGTGGAGCGACATATTCCATACTGGAGTTTTGGTATGACCAGACATATTCTAATATTAATTAATCTAATATTAATTATTTTGTAAATAGTGTCCCTTTTGGAAGCGGATATAATCCTCACATTATTATGAGATTATGACCATGGTAGAAGAATACAGGTAGATACATCAACGTTTAGGAACATTGATATGCCATAAAATGTTAAATATTTTTTCAAATATAAGTAGATTTTTGTATGTTTTCTTATACGACGTAATTCGGAAGTTATTATAATTCGCGTTTTCAACAATTTTTACAAATTTAAATAATGTTTCATTCAACATTTTCAACTCCAAACTTGGTTTGACAGTTTATTGTCCCAGCAGCTGTGTCGACGCGTCTACCTTTATTCTTTTACCATGGTTATGGCCAAAAACAAACCGGACATAATCCCCATAATTGCAATGGGGATTATATTCGGGGACCGACACGGCACCTCCAAAACCAACGGATGCAATCATTAAAAAAAAAGAAACAAATTTTCTTTTTGGAAACATGAACAAATTTTTGACAGCAGGGCAATAGGTGTAATGAGCTTTTACTCCCAGACGAGAAAAGTAAATGATGATATATGTTACGTCTGCAGAACTTTTGGTATTGAAAATGGGCCATATAGGTCTACGTTTTGGTATAGCCCCCATATAACTGTACCTCCCGATATTCGGTACTTTGATGATTTTAGCGAATTTATTCACTGGAATAATTTTAAATTTGGTATTTGAAGTTCGTAATGGATACTACAGCCAAAGACAAAAAATTGTCTATGCAGGTCCACCTCTTCTTAGAGCTCCCATATAACGGTACCTCTCGATATTCGGTATTTTGATTTTATCGACATTATAACCGATTTTCTTTTTATTTCGCATTTGAATATTGTAATGGCTTATGACAAATGTTACCTACGCAGGTTCATGTCGTCGTATAGACCCTAATATAATAGCTACATTCGGTATTTTTAAGATTTTAACAGAAGTTTTAACGGATTTTATTGTTTTTAAGAATTGCTAAATTCGTTCCAAATGGTGGAGGGTATTCAAAGTTCGGCCCGGCCGAACTTATAGCTTTTTTAATTGTTTATTTTCACACTATCTAATTTATGCACATTACATCTGTTTTTAAGCCTACAGGTATTAAGCAAAATACAAAGGTCCTTAAACAAATGTATGTTAATATACGATCGTCGTTGAATGTCATTTATTAATGCTAGTCAGAACTTGATCGAATGATCAAAAATCACTCTGATTTGGATAAGCGAGTTAGGGTTGGCGCATTGTTAGCCTCAAACAGTATATGGGAGCTACATTTAATTCTGAATAATGATTTCTGGAAAGAAATCGGCGGAGGTATCAGGTACCGAATATCATTGTTACCGAGGTTTTGGGAAGGTTTAAATATCGAATATTGGAGTTATTGCTATATCTGGAGCTATGTTCCCCAAATTATAAAAATTTTCTTCTACATATTCTACTCAGGTACATTTTGTTCGGTATGATATAACACTTTTGGTGAACAATAAATACTAAATAAGAAGAAATTATATATGGTAGATATATTCAAAACACCAATTAAAATGCACCTCTTGAGTCAGAAGAATTCATTTCATAGAACTGCATATACAAAATGAACCATATTTACAACAATGAGAATAGTTTTTCTTAAAAAGGCGGATATATTTATTTAGAAGTTGAAAGTATTAAAGTATTAAAGACGGCTGAGGTAAGCTCCGTTCAGACCCTGGCTCCATAAGGATTCACTAAACCTTATGAAATAAGGAGAGTAGATTTCTCTCCATCCTGAGATATTTTCTTAATTTCAATACTAAACTACAATCTACTTGTCTTCAAATGCGATAAGATGAATGTAGAATATAAGGGGGAATATGGAATATAGGGCACTTTATTGCCGAGATATTCGGGAGCAGATGTCCAGGCCTTCTCAGATGGATGGGAACTATTTCGGGTTCCGCAGATCAATGTAGGTACAATGGCTAGGTGCGGTTGTATGTTCTGACTAATGCATGCAATGAAATCTTCACGTAACAAAAGGTTTCTGCTTGATTTTTTCATCCTCTTAAATATGAAATAAACGACTTATCACTTATTTATAAAAATTCGTATGTATAAAAAACAGACAAGAAAACTCTTTATATTTAAAAAAAAAATATTGATAATTTTATTTGTCTGTTTCTCTTTCGAGACGAGCATATTGATCTGAAATTTGCAGATCACTACCATGACGTGGGTTAAGCGGCTCATTTGGTGTGGATGATGGCTTTAGGGGGCCGTTCTTTGGAAAGTTAAGCTCGTCTCGAAGGAGATACAAGCAAACAAATTCTCAAACATATGATCTTCTTCTCAGTAAGGCATAGCTCCATACTTAATTTGATAATGTTTTATTTTTTATTTTTTCTTCGGTGATTTTTTCAAAGCTTTCAATTTGGTGTATGGACTGATTTTATTATACCATTTCTCAAATTTTGCTACAATCTTGTCCGGTGGAGGGAACAATGGTTCGTTTCGTAGCATAAAATGGTGCATAAATTCCATGGGGTCAAGACCGTTTCTTTGAAGTTTCATGCGTCTTTTCAGATTTAGTGTATTTTGAGAATTGCCCACTATCTCTCCAGTATTGTATGAACGAAATACTTTTGTTAGGGCTGTAATTATGTAATCTTCGTATGCGTCTTCACCAATCAACTGCGACAACATATTCATCCATAGAAGATATATTGTTCCATATCCCGACTTTGGCACTAGGATTATCTTTTGGAAAATCTTCTTAAATTTAGGTTTCGCTTCCCATGGAGCATCACTTGTACCCAGAAGCATGATTTTGTCGTTTTTCTTGATTGTCTTCAAAACCTTCTTCGTTATGACCCTCTGCAGTAACGTGGGCCGTTTTTCAATTTGATCTTTTGGTATCTTCTTCCAGAACAATCGATGGACATCATTGATGAAGAGAATACTGGGTTGAAACTCCTTTGCGACTTTCATCACGATTTGAACAAAGTAATTGACACTGTCGGCAAATTGAAATGTTTTCTCAGGACTCAAATCGAGAAGAACCGCATCCAGTTCGGAGGCAATTACATTGCACAGGAGCTGTTTGCCGCAGTTTGCAGGCCCGATAATACAAATTGACTTTGGTTTATCCACGACGAAGTCCCCGTATCCAAGTAGGCAGTCTTGGATAACGGCTTTCATGTCAGCATGTTCGGGCCCTGTCGTTATGGCATTGTTATCGTCTCTAGTATCATCGGCCACAAAATTGTATTCCCCTATAAAATCGCTAAATGATCTGCCCATATGTTCCCCTATGATTCTCTTTTCTCGCAGTTCTTCGTATAGCGATTCGATTGTGCGGTGCTCTGTGATGTCTAATTTTTTTCGTTTTTTCCTTTCCGCCGGTGGCTTTGTTTTCTTCTCTTTTGGAGGTTTATACTTCTCTTTGTTGTCGGTGCATCGTGCCTTTTTGAGTAATTCGTATTCCAGTCTCATATAGCTATCGACAAGAGTTCGCAATTCCTTGTGGATTTTGGAAAGTTCGTTTTCGGTGACCCACTCTGAAATCGCTTCACTATTCTTGTTTAGGTATTCGTCCACAGTTCGCCATTCGACCGAATACCTTCTGATGGCCTCTTCAATTTTTTCGATATCTTTGCTAGAGCTTAATTGGTAGGCGATATCGTATACTCCCGCATCTTTCAACTTCTTGCGTCTCTTAGCTTCCTTTAGCTTCTTCTTTTTTATTTTTTCCTTTTCTATTAGTTTCTTCTGTTTCTCTTTGTCCGCCTTTGCTTTTTTCTCCTCTTTGGACATAGTTTGTGAATTCTGAAATTCTCTAAACTCTTCCAAGTTCATAGTTTCATCCAAGAGAACCAAAACAGTTCCATTCTTGGCAAATTCGGGATACGGATGGAAATCGCCAGCTTTATCATAAAATTCCTTAAACCACGCCCTTATGTGATCTGAAATATCCTCCATAATATTTGGAGCCCGTTCTTGTAACAATCTTGTGCGTTCGTCGGTTATCAACTTTTCAAATTTGGAGTCCAACATTTTTTTCTTCGAGTCGTCACGGTAGAGATCAAGGATACTTTGTGTGCGCTCGTGGGGTGCATGCAAATGCTTACTTCCGATCATTCCATAAAGTCGTTTTTGACACAACGAGTGCTTTTTAGCTAACTTCTTCGCTTTGTACACTCTCCAAGCGTTTTGAATGCACACAGCCGCTTTCTGCCTTTCTTCAGTCATGCCAACCTTATCACCCTCATAACAATTGCGTACTTGATTTGCTCGGTCTTTTAAAATATCTTGGCAACTTATGTTTGCTTTTACTATAGAGACATTGAACTTTGTCCTTTTCACCGGTATACTCAATGTCTGGCCCGGTTTATAAGTGAATTTGTATGTGACTCGCTTATCGAATCGAACTTTCAAATTGCTTTTGTCGAACATAATAGCGGCTCTGTATACTCGAGAACTTCTTGCTCTCTCGTGCGCCTGCAGAAGCGTAACACATTTAACCACATTTGCCTTTTCCTCGTTCAGTCTTCCCTCTTTTTCCAAGTCATCCATGCATAGACTATTGTCATAAAGGAAATTTTGATACGCCAGCGGCCTGGTGTACAGAAAGTCTGGCGAACGCCAAATGCACAAGTTATAGGGTGTGATCTTGCGAGGAATGAGAATCTGGTCCATGTAAACATATTCACTAAGCTCAATGCTACACAGTTCGCTTTTTAACATCTTGAGGGTCTGAATGGCGGGTCCCACTAGCTCCTTGATTACATCGCGTTTTTGCACCTGAAATGTTTTTCGGTGCAAATAAGTCAATTTGTCCACCAATTCGCCGTAAAAAATATACAATTCGGATAGTATTTGGAATGAAATGCGTGGATCGTCGATGGGCTCTCTCTTCTTTAGAACATTTTGTAGTTTTATTAAATGGCCAATGTTGCGTTTGGTAGCCACCCAAATTTTGTAGTTGAAATCGAAGGACATTATAATTTAGGTGAGTTACTTTTAAAAAATTTTATGAAAATGTCAAATATTCTTGTAAGGCAAGGTGATGGAAAACAAGGCCAAAATGTACGAAAAAGGACAACTAAACCAGCAACGATCAACGCTTTTGGAAACCAATATTCAACGTGTCATTGTTGAAATACGACCTCAAATGCTCGAAATGAAGGGACGAAAATAGTCGTGGGACCATATGCACGAAATTATATTTAACATTTAAATAACAAGAAATTATCTAACAAATATTTGTTTTTCAGCGAACGAAAACAAACGAGACGTTCCGCTCACTTGAAGTCACAAATTTTAAAATTATTTTTGATCATTTTGTACTTCAAACAGAACTATACCACAAACATTTCAAAGCCAAAAGTACACAGACAATACGATTGCCTTAATGTACTTCGGGGGTGATTTGTCGAGCTGTATCATTTTCGAACGAATCACCGGGAAACGTTTCCAAACGATTTCTGTGCGTAATGATGACTGCTACATTTTGAGGCATCATTCTAAATATTGCTTTTTAACATTGTTTCCATTGTATGATGGACGTAATAAATAAATAAAAAGGCACGGTTTTGTTTCGTACTTCAAGAAAATAGGGAACAAAACGATTGCAAACGTTTGGTAAAGTTTACTGTCGTACGCTGTTTTTTGCCATTTTATAACTTGTCATCTATTTTATTTAAATTTAAAAACAATAACAAGTTCCTAGAAAAACTCCCTAGATGTGATTGACTTCAATACTTTCATTCGTACCCTTAAAAAAACGCATACGGCATCTGCTGATTGGAATTTTTTCGTTGGTAATGGTTAGAGCATCATTCGTACCCTTAAAAAAACGCATACGGCATCTGCTGATTGGAATTTTTTCGTTGGTAATGGTTAGAGCATCCGTTGTCTGTATATTCATTACCACATTGAAATGTTTGTAGTTTTGTTTGGAATACAAAACTATTAAAAAATAAAAGTTTGTGACTTCGTGTAAGCGGTACATTAATCGTTTCGTTTATTTTTGTACGCTGATAAAAAGTGTGGCTCAACTCCAGGGAACGAAAACAAACGAAACTATTAACGCACCACTTACACAAACTTTTTCATTCGTTTTGAACTCCAAACAAAACAATGTCAGAAACATTTCAATGCAGGAAGTACACAAACAATACGATTGCCTTAATGTACTTCCGTTGTGATTTGCCGAGCTGTATCGTTTGCGAACGAATCGTCGGGAAACGTTTCCAATCCAGTAGAGTACATTTTAGTTTTGTTTTTGTTTTCACTCATCTACACAAACAGTACAAATTAAACAAGTAAAAAGGCTGTAAGTTCGGCCGGGCCGAATTTTAAATACCCTCCACCATTTGGAACGAATTAGAAAATTTAAAAAAAAAAAAATAATAATAAATAAATAAAATCCATTGAAAATTCTGTTAAAATCTTTAAAATACTTAATATCGGAAGGTGCCGATATATTGGGGGATATACGATATTGTGGACCTACATAGACAAATCTATGTCTGGGGGCAAAGTACTCACAAGGAACTCCTTGTGTGGATTTTCAGATAATTCCATTGGGAAATGTGGCTAAAATCATCAAAATACCGAATATCAGGGGTACCGTTATATGGAGGCTATACGATATCGTTAACCCATATAGAGAACTCTCTGTCAGGGGGTAAAGTGCTCACAAAGAACCCCTTGTGTAGAATTTCTGACAATTCCGTTAAAAAATGTGGCTAAAATCATTAAAATACCGAATATCGGGGGGGTACCGTTATATGGGGGCTATACGATATCGTGGACCGATATAGCCCATCTTCGAACTTGACCTGCCTGCAGACAAAAGAGAGATCTGTGCAAAATTTTAGCTTCCTATCTTAATTCATTTAGACTGTAGCGTGATTACAACAGACGGACGGACAGAATTTTAGAATTTTACGCTGATCAAGAATATATATACTTTGTTGGGGCTGAAATGATTATTTCGATGAGTTACAAACGAAATGAGGAACTTAATATACCCTCCATACTATGTATGGTGGAGGGTATAAAAACAAGACCCGTTGTCTTATTATCTGTTTTGTTTCGTTTAGTACTTCGAGAAAATACAGAACGAAACAATTGCAAACGCTTCCTATAGTTTATTTTCGTACGCTACTAAAATCATCAAAACGCCGAGTATCGGGAGGATAAGTGCTATAGAAAAACGTTGACCTATAAAGAAATTGTTCAGGTAAGAACCCTTTACAATGTTTAATTACCAAAACGTTGACATACATAGAAAATCGTCTACTACAATGCCTGATATGTTTTCAGACCAACAAATACTAAATTTGAAACACGCCCCTTTACAAATGAGTTTAAAAACTTTGACTAAAATGTAATGCCAAATATGAGGAGGTACAAGCGTATGGGGGCTATACGAAAACGTGGACTTATATAGACAATGTTCTGCCACAGAAGGTAGAGCCCACTATAAACTCGCTGAAATCGTCAAAATTCCGAATATTTGGAGTTGCCGTTAAGTGGGGGCTATATGGAAACGATGACCCATATCGTTCATCTTCGAACTAGAATTGCTTGCAGACAAAATACAGCTAAGCTTCCTATCAAATGCCTTATGGACTCTAGCATGATTACAATAGACGGACGGACGTATATGATCAAGAATATATATACTTTTTTGGGTCTAAAATGATTATTTCGAAATGACAAACTTAATATACCCACCATACTGTGTAAAACGTATGGTGGAGGGTATAAAAAAGTCCTAAAGATTTCGATTCCAATGTTCCCAATAAATAGATCAACAGTGATTAGTATGTGACATAAATAAGTGTAATGAACTGGCCTGTATTTCAGATTTTCGTAAATGAGAGTTACTCTCTAGTGTAACTAAGTATTAACCTAGCTTTTATGTAATAAAAACATACGAAAAAAACATTGCAGATAATGGTGTTAAAACTAGCTCCTACTCTAACAATGGCAGTGGCGTTATTGAAATCAAATATTTCTTGACACACCATTTGGGCAGGTTAATGGCTAACATCCATTTGATGCCAACAATTCTGTTTCAATTAAGACATTTTTCTCTGTCTTCTCGCCGCCTCCGTTTTTCAATGAGTTCTTTGATGTCCTTTCACATCTCTAAAAGTTCTCCACAATGCAAAGGTGCTGTTTCAGGTCATGGCGGTTTTTGCTACCGCTTTTGGGTGAAAAGTTTAAGTACTTTACAAAATTGCAAGTCAGAGAGAACAAAAAACTCAAAAGTGCATTAATTCCTGGTTTTTCTTTTTAATGCACTTTCACATTTTCCCAAGGAATATCATTTAAACTTTCTCATATTGCGACCACTTGTGGACCGTAACAATTTTATTTAATTACAAAAATTGCAAAAGTTTTCTAAGGATCGTCGTGGACGTCGTCTTCGTTTGCCGTTTCGTCATAATTAAAATTAAAAATGCATTTCAATTTTCATATTAAGGTCCATTCGGTTAATGGACAGGTAAGTTGTTCATTCGAATTTTACTTCACAATTGACACAGCAAATTTGCTTGGGACAATGTGATTTTCCTCAAACTTGAGTGGTTATATTCTACAAAAATACAATGGCGATAAATGTCAAAGAGAGTTCCATTAACACTGTGCAACACAAAAAAATAAGTATAGGAATAACCAAGTAGGTTATGAAAATAGAGCTAAAAAAGTATTCGGTTGTATCAACATTTTAAAAGTTTATGTCTCAAAGTTATGTAAAGTTAAGAAGGTAATGTCATGCAATCTTTGCATTTTTTTTTTCAAATTATACATTTGACAACATCTTATTGTGAAATGCTCTGCTCCAGAACCTGCAAGAATCTACAAGTTTTTCAATTGTTTTCCATCTCACAGCGTTACCTAAAATTCGACGTAGCGTATATAGATATGTGAAATAATGGTAGAATTAAGCTTAAGAACTTGAAAAGTATCCAAACAATTCCGCTTAAAGGAAAGCTGTTATTTGAGGGCTATACGAAGACGTGGTTCTTCATAAGGAATTTTTGTCATCGGCTGTAGTACCCATTACGAACGTTAAATACGAAATTTGAAACAATTTCTATGAATAATGTCCCGAAATTCATCAAAATACCGAATAAAGAGAAGTACCGTTGTATGGGGGCTATAAGATATCGCGTACCTATATAGACAATTATCTTCCTGGGGGTAAAGTATTCAGAAGGAAATCCTTGTGTGGATTTTCAGACAATTCCATCTAAATACCGAATATTGGGAGGTACAGTTATTTGGGGGATCAAGATGATCACAGGGTGAAATGAAAAAACTGCAACCAACTTCAGAATGCTGTCATTTCAAAGCCACTTGTCCGACAGCTGCTAAAATTATTCCAGTGACAGTTCATTATATTGTTTAAAAGCTTGCAAAAGCAGTTTGGTGAAAATCTTCCACAAAAAAGTTATCCGTGATGGAATTCCAGCGTGATGTTGTGATTTCTTTATATTTGGCTCCGATGAGAAAACATTCGTTGTCCAGCAGTTTGTAAACAAACAAAATTATCGTGTTTACTTGCCAAAGGGTCAGCTGAAAATGTGCACCTTATTTTGGCTACCAGAACTCAAGCGCCTGCCATGGTGATGGTGTGGACCGCCATAACAGCCGATGGTCGCTCTCCGCTCGTATTAATCGACCGTGGCATCTGAATAAATGTTGAATATTATCGCGAAAATATTCTGGAGGGTGCATTAAAGCCTTGGGCACGCAAACATTTTGGCCGCAAACCTTGGACATTCCAACAGGACTCAGCACCATCTCACTCAGCACGCGCCAACCAAGAATGGTTTCAAAATGAGGTTCCTTGCTTCATTTCCAGCGCACAATGGCCACCAAAATGTCCGGATACTAATCCGCTGGACTAATGCGTCTGGAGTATTTTGGGAAACAAGGTTGGCACTAAAAAATACCAAAGTGTCGATCACCTCAAGCTACCGCTTCGCTGGGAATGGGCCAAAGTACCGCAGAGCAACATACGGGCAGCGTGTGTCGGTTTCAGAAATGTTATAAGTCAAAAAAAAAAAAAAAGAAAAAAAAAACTGCTCTGTTCCAGAACCTGCAATAATGTATTATTTCTGAATTTTTTTTTTCAATATCATAAAGGGAAAATCGATTAT